TATCATGTAGCAGTTTTGAGACAAGAAGACACAAAATGTTTCTACTACTTTGAAGATGTATTTGTTTGAGATTTGAGGTTTTCAAGGTGGTGATAATGTGAATTCTGGTCTTCTTTGTTGTGATTCTGTATAATTTTGTAGGTTGTTATAAGTGTTACAGAGGAACATATTGCCTACATCTTTAGGGTTCTGCCTACAAGGTTATATGGTATCACAACTCAGAATATCCCAATCCACAAAGATTTTATCGAGCTCTTGGTGTTACTGATTGGCAGTTTATACTTACCACAACATGACACTTGCTTCAGAAGAAAGTACATTTGCTGTTATGTGCATGGGACCAGAATGAAATATTTCACTGATAGCTAACAGTTTTTCACATTAACAGTTATGAAATGTTACCCATTACAAAATTGATAACCACGGTTTTCCTTTTAAATTGTCACTGCTTATTTAAATTTGAAAATTCTTTTAAATGTTTGGTGGCACCAACTGGTCCAGTTGGTATGCTCATTTCAATTCCTTAGTAATAAAAGTTCTTTTCTATTTGTAAAGTTATGCAAGTCTGTAATTTAATATTGTTTAGAGCAAAATCTTGATCTGTAACAAGCAAGTCATTGTCTTCATATTTGTTACTGTAACTATAAGCTCCCTACTTTTGTAATGTTCCTAGATACATCTTTGGACTGTTATGGGGCAGTTCAGTGAAAGTTCCTGATGATGATGGTGATGATGATAAATTATCTTAAAAATATAATTTGAGTTTATTGCAGATTTGAGTGCATTTGCTATATTTGAATTAAAGCCACAGATTACAGGGATAAATAGATCACATTCTTTAAATATTTGTTTGTGTTGCTTTGCTCAGTTCTTGGATTAATTAATAAGGTTGTATACATGGCATCTTAGTTAGGGCACTTGAATTTTTTGTGGTTTTGAATGAGAACCAGTCTTTTGTTTTAAGATGGCATTGTTACTATAATACCTCTCTGTAGTGTTCTAGCTATTAAAATTTATCATCCCAATCAATGGGGCAGAATTAATCAGTATTCTCTCATCTTGCCATCATATCGTGAGGAATTTTTAGCAAATAAAATGTAATTTCATCCATTATATACGTGGGTATGGTTCTTTCCATTTTAAGAAGTCTTGTGAAGCTTTTGTTAAATCACGTGCTGCAATTAAGTTCATTGCAGTTTTTTGGCTGACATTGACACGTTATTAATATTGAGCTCAAATTTTATATTTAACTCTGCATTCTATGATTGAAAATTTATTTGTCTTTTTATTTTATCAGATTTATAAATAATTACCTGTACATCACATAATGATAGAAAGTATTTGCTCAAAAGTACAAATACTTAATAATGCAGTACATTTATATATTATACATTAAAATTTGTTATTCACATGTATGTTTCTTTTTACCCCTGTGCAACATTTAATTGATTTAAAAATGATAAATCTCTTGGTAATTTTGGAAATGAGTGCTCTTTATAGTTCATTTCTATTTTGTATGGACAGAGGGTTTCTGGAGCACATAATAAAACCTTTTAAGTCTTTGTTTAGTGTAATGCAACAGCCTTATAACAGCACTGCATGTTTTGGAACAGTCATGACAGTGTCCGAGTCCAGTGATGTGCTTATAAACTGTTACTAATATAAATGCATGAAGTTGGTTTGAGATGAATAAGTCATGGAAGTAACAACAGCATCAACAGTTCCATATTTGAAGAAAATAATTTAATAAATTAGTTACCCCTTGATAAATTTCTTTTTTGTGTACACATACAACAAGAATAATATAGGTTCAATATTGCAAACTACTTCAGTTAGCATTTCACTTGGCTGACTATGAATTTTCAGTAAGATATTCTACTTACTATGAATGACAGAGATCAGTATATTACTGAGATATGAATCTTGATCAGTTGATGACATGGAAATTCATTCGGACTAAGAAACTTTTTATAAAGTGAATACACTTTGTAACACTGCCAAACTTTTCTAAGTTCTGAAAATAATTTTAGAATGCACTAGGAGCTTTCACCAATGTTAAAATATAAAAGGGGAGATAAAATGAGTTACCTTCTTGTACTTCCACCATGTTTTACTGGAATTATCAAAAATATTTTATCTTGTGTGTCAAGTAACCTCTAAATGTGTACTGTCCTCATGATGTGGTTTGTAAGTATTATTTTAAAATATAAAATAAATTCATTACATTTAGTGATCACATCAAAGGGCATGTTGCTACCATGTTCATTCATGTTGGTAGTTCTGCCCTGCTCTATGAATGTAGTTAACAGTGTATGAATAAATTTTTATACAGTTAAAGATAAATATAAAAGAAAGGTACTGTATTAAAAGTTGATGGGTAACATTAGTTCTATGAATTTAGGCCTTTATTATCTCCAAGTCCAAACAAAAATTATTTTAAATTCCATAACATAAAACAAAGAACTCGCCCTCCCCCTCCCTGCAAGTTGAATTATAAGTGTCATTGTTATGAACTGGACAGCTAAATTTAGTTCCAGATGTTGGCAATTTTTCTCTTCACCACAATGTCTGCAGCCTCTTTGAGCTGACCTAACCTCATGTTCAAAATGCACCTGGAGCAGTTTTCTTGAATTATGTTGGTCAGAGTGTGAAATTACAATCCACTTCCATTTGGCAGTGTCTGAGAATACATGGCTGAAAGTTTTTTATATGCCTTTAGGCATGGAATCAGCACTTTATTTCACAGCTTATTCATGACATTGCCCCTTATTCTGTACAATTTGTATGAGATCAGATGACAGGAAAGTCTGCAGCACAAAAATAGGTGTATGAAATTTAATAGTTTTTAAACGGTATGATAACTGTAGATTTATGGCATGTAAAAGAACTATATGAGCATGATACAAGATGTATCGTAAGCAAAATTCAGTGGCCATTTCTCACCCATATCTCTCCTGATTCACTGCTAGATGGCTCTGGCAGTCAAAATCAGGATTGAGTAGAAATTGTGCAAAGGCAGTAGTCTTGTCACTTACTACTCAAATGCACCTTACAAGACTAATAAGGACAAGTTGCCTTGAGCAACTGTCCCAGAACGGGCCAATAGGCCCAATCCCTGTAGCAGATGAGGATATCCATATTCTGACATTCTTATGACTTAGTATTAATCGGCATGCTGACATACTCTTCTTCATTAACAGTGAAAGGTTTCAAAATAAAAAGTTGGAATGATTCATATATATTTTTATGGTTCAAATGTAAAATTCCCAGCAGTATTTTGGTTTTGATAACAAGGTGCCAGTAATAAAAAATGAACAGAAGATAGTAGTCTTATATTTTTATTTTTTGACTAGAATTCTTATCAAGGAGCAGAAATTACATAAATGTTTTGGTCCCCATTTAATTAATATTCTAGTGGTGAAGTATCCAAGCAAGCCTCAAAACACCATTTCTATTCCAAAAGAAATTTATAAAGATTCATTAAGACTTCCCCCCCTTTCCCAAAAAATGGGAAATATTTAGTGATATGTAACTTAGGATTTTACTGATGTCTATGGATGTGGTCTTTATTTGGTTGAAGACTTGAATCCTGAATGGAGTTACGCCTGGCAAAGCATACAGGTATACATATTGAACTCGATGAAAATGTTTATATGGCATATTTGAATGTGACCATATGGTCTGTTTCTGCTATATTGATAACTATGCCTGACCACTGGAACATATCAAAACCATTGAAAATTATACTTACAGGGGTATCCTAAATAAAGCTGTGTGCTCCAAGATGAAATTCTTGTCACAAAATGAAATGTCCAGAAAATAACATTTGTAAGTTTAAAATGTACTTGTTCAAAATTTCAAATTTTGGATAGATTGTGAATAAATGGGAGGTACTAAAATATTTAAAGTGCTGCATATGAGATGTAAAGTGTGTGTATGAATAATTTTGTGGAGCAAGTAGCAAGGTTTCTTCTCCCCTACAGGCTGGAACAAGTCTTTGTCATCTGTGTTCCTCCACAGTTTTCCCACACTGCACTGTGTTATATAAGCTGTTTGTTTTACCCAAGCTGATTGAAGAAATACAATCAAATAATGAAGACTTGTACATAGACCACCCTATGTTTATTTCTTCTTCCAGCATTCCAGGATGTTTGAATAATCCTGTATCCAAATAATGAGGGTTGCATGTCATGGTCTCATTACTAAATTCTATTTGATCATATTGTATGTTTCAATAAAGAGTTGTTTTACAGATAATAGAATACTTAGTTAAATTCTGTTGATTTCTTTGAATATTTGAAATTAACAGTGAAGTAATGAACTTTATGCAGGTAACTCCTTTTCTTGTGGCATCAATCACACTAAAAGTGGGTCAGTGGATGAAAGGCCTTAAGATTCTCTTGTTTCATATTTGTCAACTTTAAATATTGTCAATTAACTTGTGTGTTCTGTCTTCATCTGGGACATCTTTTTGAGTTTTTATTTGTTTGTTCCCCTGTGATCCCTTTTAAAAAGTCTCACATCCATCCAGTAGCTGTCTTACATGTTTGTCATTTACATTCTTTTGGGACCTCTTTGTGCGAAAAAATTCCCTTCATCACAATATAATATTTTGATCATGGAATTCTAGTGATCTCCCCATCAATCTTCTCCAAGTTTCATTCCACACATAGATTTAATAACATTTCTTCAATAATAATCATTGCAGTACCATAGTGAATATTGAAATTTATCTTAATATCATCCTCAGAAGGGAAGGAAAAGGAAAGAAAACTAGCATATCTTTAGCTAATTATACTCTATTTCAACATGAAACTTATTTTTGTTATTCCCATGTTTTCTTTATTTGATATCAAATGTATTTATTTAACCAGTCATACTTTCACCTTCACTTCTTTTTTATTTGCTTCCAACAGAATTTCCTTCTTGCTCTTTTAGCACTTACATTTCTACCTAATAAATTAACATAACATGCCAATGTATACTAGATTCTTCTCGGGCCACCAGCAGTGCCAAGTAGTTAAATGGCGAAAAGACCTACGTTTAGAGAACCATCGTCGTCGTCGCCCTGTGGGTACTTAAGTTATCTTACATGCCAATTTAATTCATTTGTAGATTCACCACTCTGCCAAAGATTAAAGGCATAAGTTTTCTGCATCACTTAGAACACCTTCCAATACCACACGAAGTCATCCAAAATACACTAAGGCAGCCACTTCCTTCGAACGTTATAACCTTTAATCCAAAGTATTGTGCGTCTTGCAGCAATATTAATGAATTGACACATAGACTGGTAACCACATGTCTCTTGTTAGTTTTGCCTCCACAACAACTTTGGACAAACTGAGGATTTTCATAAACGAACCTTGCAATTTTTATTCCGTAACATGAATAATACCAACATGAACATAGTGGTTGTGATTTCAATGTGGAAATATCAGTAGCACCATTTAAATACAGCACTAAAAGTATGTACTTTCAATAAGGATATTTTTGATAGAGTATAATGTAACATTATGCATGTGTATGTGACCAATTTTGTTGCAGCTATTTTTGCATTAAAAATTTAAAAAAAATGATGCTAAACTTTAAGGTTATGTCTGTCAACTTTCATGTAGTGAAAGTCTGTAATAGTTGAAATTATGACACTGTTTTATGGAGAAGCGTTTAAAAGAAGTAGGCATTAAAATTCATCCGAGAAAGTCTTGTTTGTGTTACACACACATACATTTTCTAGGAATTTACAGTTTCTGTTTTCAGGTTAGAAGTGACTACACATAAAAAGTACTCTTTATTACACATGACGGTGTCCAAAAGGTTAATTAGTACCAGTCAGTGTTAGTATGCAGTTATTCACATTTTCTTATATTAGGCAGTGCACTTTAATGCAGATAAAATTTAATTTTTATACATTTTACATGATAGGAGTTGAAGTTTAGAATCGTCCATCCTTTTAAAGTTATTAAGAATATTTAATTGTCATTTATATGTAAAATTTAAAATAAAAACATGGCATTTGCATAAATTGTATGTTTAGTTTTCTCCTTGACATCACTGTTTAAGTAATGAAATTTTGGTATGTTGCTAGGTTATGAATGTGCAGATTTTGTAAGCAAGTATTTTTGTGAAGATTTCTGTCTTCTGGGTTGTTGCGCTGTGTAGTCTGGTCGATGTTTACCAACGTTTCAGAGGTCATATACTACCTCCATCATCAGGGCGATGAACCAGACTACACAGTGCAACAACCCAGAAATCTTCATACTCACTGCTGTGAAAACTTCAAATCTTACAAGTATTTTTGTGATTAAAATTATAAATACAGCAAGCTTTGAGATTCTGATTCTGAGATTGTTGAAGCATAAAGCAGTTTTTGAAATTATCTGTTTTATATATAATTTAAGGTAGATTTGTTAGATCCTCATGAAATTTTAAAAAAGTTTGGCCATGTCAAAGGTGTTCATTGTAGGGGTGATGTGCTGAAAGCTAAGACGTAGTAATTCAAGGATTGTTTTAGAACAGAATCAATTGGTCTCAAAATGTTAAATGATATTGAATATTATGCAATTGCAACAGTCAATGTGACCTTCTGTGACGTTTATAACGTTTTAAGATGATGGAATAAAAAATTTGTGACTAAAGCAGTAAATGTCCACAGTGTGCAAAAATATGTTTGTGTTAATAAAAGTAAATATTAGCAAATATGAAATACTTGGTGTAAAACTGGGATCTAAATAAGGAGACTGTATAAGGCATAAATATTTCCCCAGTGTAAACTAGGCCAAGATAAAGTATTTACTGTTTATTAATGCAAATTTATTTGTCCATAAATACAAGGTGACATTTTTCTGCTGAAACACAACGTTTCCATTGGAAATTTAACCCTTTCACTGTTATTGAGGGAATAATTGTTCCAAGTGGGAAATTTTGCTCTACATCATACACAAAACCTTTCTACCAAATATATCACATTGCTGGTAACATAGGTGGTTTTCCCACAAAGTCCACAGCAATAAAATGGACGTAAGAATTTAATGTTGTAGAAACTAAATGAATTTCGAAGGGGGGAAATTATTTAATTTAATATTTAATGTTGTATAAGCAAAATTAGTTTCAAAGGCCAAGAAAAGGATTAATATCTCCTTAAATAATAGTGGATGGGTTAAAAATGGACATCTCAAAAATTGTTTTGGTGACTGCTGTCTGTCAAGTTCAGAACAGAGTCGGCTAGCAAACTATGGCCCACAGACAACTTGAAGCCTTGTATAAAAAACATACATAAATAAGAAAAATCAAGAAATTACACTGAACTAAAATTTTAGACTGACATTCTCTCTTGTCAGGCTCATGATAAAGTTTGTCTTTGCACCAT